ATTCCTGGAAGGCAAGCTGTTTTAATCTGGCTTTCCTGAAGATTGATAGCCTGGAGAATTCATATTTTTGTTTGGCTGATGCCCAGGGCTTATTCTTGGCTCTGAGCTCAGGGATCACTCCTGGAGGACCATACGTGCTGCGGGATTTCCTGGCCCAACAAAGTGCACGGCAAATGCCCTACCCACCGTACAATCTCTCGCGCAGGAGAACTCAGATTTTTATCAAAAAACCCAATCTGTCTGAAAAGGAGTATGCACCAACTACTTAAAGTCCACCTTCGCCCCCATGTGATCCAGCCATACCGGTACTCCTGGGACCCAAAAACACACTGCGGAAATGCCATTCTGCACTTCTATGTTCACCACAGCACTATCGTAATAGCCAGAATCTGGAAACAGCCCGAAAAGTGCCCGAGAAGAGATAAAGAAACTATGGTACATCACGGTTGGTAGCCAGTCTTATGAGCAGGGGAAGAAGACAGCTGGGACAGAGAAGTCAGTGATGGTTCGAGAGAGCATTCCGGATGGGAGATGTGTGCTGAAAGTAGATAAGGGACCAAACGTGATAGCTTCTCAGTATCTATTGCAAACCATAATGCCCAAAAGCAGAGAGAGAGTATGGGGGAAACTGTTTGCCATAGAGGCAGGGGGAGGGCTGGGATGGGGGAGGGGATTCTGGGGACATTGGTGGTGGAAAATGTGCACTGGTGGAGGGACGGTGCTCGATTATTGTATGAAACTCAAATATAAAAGTTTTGTAACTGTAGCTCATGGTGATTCAGTAAAAAAGAGAAAAAGAAAAGATTTCAAATATCAATTAGAGTGGCCGAAATCATGCTCAATGACTATGGATCCTGATTCCTTATATGCATGCTTCTAATTTGTAATCCTAAACATTATATAATAAAATTCTCATGACTAGGGGGAAAAAAACTATGGTACATCTACAATGGAATACTATGCAGCTGTTGGGAAAAATGAAGTCACGGAATTAGCTTATAAGTGGATGGGCACAGAGGGTATCATGCTGAGTGAAACAAGTCAGTTATTTAAAATAAATGAAATAAATAAAATAAGCCCATCTTCAAGACAGGGACACAACTGAACTGCAGAACTAAGACTTCATGTGTAGCCCTGGGTCTAGCCTGGTACTACGAATAAACGAGGCGGGATTTGGCTGGGGGGGGGGGGGGGTCATCTTCATTACAAACCTTCGACTGTATAAAAGCGATTGGCATTCATCCTGTTAATAATTAGGTGTGTCTGAAACAAGTGGTCAGGTTCCTGCACACAGACATGATAACTCCACGGCCAGAGAGCATCCCCACGAGCTCTGAATCACTGTGGGAGCCACTAAGCCCCACTGCCCTTGCTGCCACAGTGCCGGAACGCAAACCCTCCGCTCCAGGGTCCAGGGAGGGGCTTGCAGAAAGATGGACAGCTACAGGGTTCAGTCGGGCCACAGGAGCCCCCCGGGACGTCCACGTGGGAAAAGCCCCCTGGAATCACAAGCTGATCTGTCGCCCTGCACTCTGTCCACTGGAGGGGTGAAACAGTTACTAAGTGGTTTGGTTTCACATGGAAACAGTTACCAAGACAAACCTTCTCATCAATTGGGGATCCAAGAACATTAAATCATAAGAAATTATTTCAGCAGCTGGTTCAAGCTGCGTGTACATAACACAAGACAGCTGGCTGGCTGTGCATTTTCAGTTCATTTAAAAAGTATAAACACATTAAAACACTGAAATGTTTGATATATTACTGTAACAGTGCTGGCTCCTCTGGCCACGTGACTAGCTGGGCCTGTGGCTGTGTTCACTCACGTCTCATAGATAAACGCACTGTCTCTTTACATCCCCTTGAAATCAATAGAGCATTCTGACCAATAAAGGTTTAATTTTTTTTCTAGTTTTGGGGCCACACCCAGCCACGCTCAGGGGCTACTCCTGGCTCTGCACTAAGAAATCACTCCCGGTGGAACTCAGGAGACCATATGGGATACCGGGCAACGAACCCAGGTCAGCCATGTGCAAGCCAAGTGTGCTTCCTGCCTTACTATCTCTCTGGCCCCAACAAAGGTTTATTTTTTTTTAATGAAGAATGTACTAATTTAGGAACATATTAAAATGCCGGTATTTACTTCTGGCATTCAAGTAAAAGAGGTGGTGCTCCATTTAAAATTAACTCAGGGATACGGGAAACATCCCACAGACACTGATACGCAAATACTAGACACTCCTGCCTGTGACTCTGACCTTGACCACATGCAACAAAACCCTAACCCTACTGGCTTAGCCATAGTGTCTAGTGTCCTTCGTAAGAAAAGAAATTCATGGCCAGCAAGAATGGCTGAGCAGCAGAATACTTTGCATGAAGTCCTGGGTTTAATCCCAAGCACAAAAACAAAACAAAACAAAAAAACCTTTAAAAAAAAAAAGAGAGAGAGAGAGAGAGAAAAGGGGCCAGAGCGATACTCCAGTGAGTAGCGTTCTTCCTTGCATGCAGCTGACCTGGGTTCAATTCCCAGAATCCGGTCACACTCTCCCTGAGGCCAGCCAGTCAGCCTCGCTCCCCGCTGCACTGCCAAACGGACCCCAGTGTTCCTGCGGCACTGATGCTGCCTGCACCTGCTCCAGCCACTACAAATGCAAAGACTGCAAATGCGTCTCTGCCAAGAAAAAGCATTGCTCCTGCAGCTGCCAGGCTGTACCAAGCGCACCCAGGATGCAGCTTCCAGGGGCACCAAACAAGGGCCACTGCTGGGTCTGAATTTGGGGAGGGGAGTTCGATCATCCTCCCAGGTGTGTAGACACTGCCCGTCCCGGTGGGGCACCAAACTGTCTATAGGCTCCTATCCCTGTTCTAGGAAATAGGAATGAAAGTAAAAGCCCTTGGCTTTAAAAAAAAAAAAAAACCATAATTCCCAGAATCCCATATGGTCCTGAAGCACCACCAGAAATAATTTCTGAGTGCAAAGGTGCAGAGCCAGTAACCCCTGAGCACTGTTGGTGTGCGAAAAAAAAATTACAAAAGCAAAGAGAAATGGGGCTGGTGTGATAGTATAATGGATAGCATTATGGGTAGGACTCTTGCCTTGCAAACTGTAGACCCAGGTTCAATTCCCACATCCCATATGGTCCCCCAAACCCGCCAAGAGTGATTCCTGACTGCAGAGCCAGGAGTAACCCCTGAGCACTGCTGGGTGTGGCCCCAAAACTAAAACAAAAAAAAATTCTATAAAGTCTCCTCAAAGAGACCATTCAAACAATACTAGTATTACTGCTTTAAAAGTAACAAACATTTTGAATCAGAGAGGAACTGCCTTCCCCAGAGCGAGAGATCCAGCTAAAGTTGTGTAAATAGATAAATCTGTTTTCCTCACCTGAGACACGCAGGGCAGGATCGCTGGGGCGAGAGTTCGGGAAGAGGCAGACTGCAGTGATGGACCCCACAGCACCACCGGGTGTGGGCGAGATACAGCCCACAGGGGAGGGCACTCGCTTTACTCAGAGCTGACCCAGCTTCTAGCATCTGTACCACACATGGTCCCTCAAGCATGGCCAGGAATGATCCCTGAGCACAGAGCCAGGAGCAAGCCCTGCGCTCTGGCAATGTGCACCACCACCACCCCCGTGCAAAAACAGAGAAATAAAAAGGAGGGGAAGGGCACTGACAGCTGGGGACGTGGGTTCAACAAGCTCTGTGGTGCTGAAGCAGAGTTTTCTGAGTCTCTGCGTGGCCTATGCAATTCAAAACTCGTCCGTACTCCAGACCGCAGGCCAGCGGCTCTCAAGGACAAAGACATCCCGCCTGGCTGGCTCAGACCCCCCGAAAAAGCTCTGGCTGGGAGGTTCAAGGTAGAACTTCCTCTACCTTTCTCCGACCTTGCACTAAGTAAGGCAGACTGAATGAGTATTTGTCTGAGCCCAAAATAAAATTCAAAGTCAAAAAGAGGAAAATTTAAAAAAAAAACTAGGAACTGGGTTTCCATTTCCTTCCATTTTCCCAGCAATTCCAGTCCTGGGAAGAAACTGCCAGGGTCCGAAAGCACAGTGCAGAAAAGATATCTGCACACCCATGTTCACAAGAGCCAAAACCTAGAAACAGCGCAAGTGTCCAAGAACAGATGAGTGAGAGAAACCATGGCACGCACACACAACGGAGTACCACCTGGCCATACAAGAAAAATGAAGTCATGCAACCTGCTGCTGCCTGGATGGATCGGGAGAGTCTCATGTTGAGGGAAATCGGTCAGAGAGGAAGAGACACAGAATGAACTCACTCGTATTCGGGATATACAGAAACTTCCCAGGGGAGTCTCAGAACGCTCAAAGGCAAAAGAGTCCAAGAGCAGGAGAACTGGTGTTCCGTAGGAAGCTTGGCGCTGGGGTGGGGGTCGGTGGGGATACTTAGGGAAGGGAACACTAGGACAATGGGGGAGGGGAAAAGTGCCCACCACAGAGGCAGAGGCAGGCTGCGCGGGGTGGGAGGGACACTGGGGACATTGGTGGAGGGTGTGGCAATATATACCGGAAACGCAATCATAAATATCTTTGTAACTTTGTAATTCATGATGATTCGATTATATATGATATATAACATATATATGTGTATATATATAGACATACACACACACACACACATATATATATTTTTTTTTTTTTAAACGTTGGTGGACACCTAGCTGCATGCCATGCCTGGGTGTGGGCCAGACTGCAGCGCAGGGTATCCTGTAAGACGCTCTGAGGGCTGAGGAGAGTGTGGCTCTGTGCTAACCACACGCTTCCTCACTGCTAGGGAGCACGATGATTTCCCTCTCCATAGCTGAACAGTCTCATTTTTGATGAAGGATAATGAAGAGTGTGAACATCATTAAGCAAGAGAGAGAAAATAACCTCACGGACCTAACATTAAATCCAGGCCCTAAAACTTCTACACGATCAACTGCTTTTTCATTATACACAGACAAAACTGATCCTGGCTGAGCCAGCACTTACAGGAGTGGAATATCGGTGACCAGCTGCATCAGACAGCACAACAATTCTTCTAAAAGATCTTCCGAGTCAGAACCTGCTAAGGGATACCAAAGTCAGTTAACAAAACAGGAAACGGGATACTATGGTTCAGAAGTTGTCTGCATTCCCAACAAAAATAACAGCATTCCATAAACTCAGACATTACTGGGTTTTGGTTTGGGGTACAAACCCAGCTGTGCTCAGGGCTGACTCCTGGCTCTGTGCTCAGGGCTGACGTCTGGCAGAGCTCAGAGGACCATATGGGGTGCTGGGGCGTGAACCTGGGTCAGATTCGTGGCATCTTTCTTACCTACTGTACTGTCTCTCTAGTGCCATCAGAGATGACTGTTAACCTCTGAATTTTAAAATCCACTTCAATCCAGTCCAAAAAAATAGAAATCATAAATAAGTTAGCATCTATCATGATCTTAAAGTAACAAAGAAATTTGGGGGTTGGGCGATATCTCAAAGGGCTGTATACCACAAGAGGCACAGCTGGGAATTACCCCCAAACACTGGTCCAGGAATTACCCTAAAGCACTGCTGGGTTTGACCCAAAAACCAAGGGGGGAAAAATGAAAATTTGGGGGGCTGAAGCAATAATACAGTGGGTAAGGAGACGGCTGACCCAGGTTCAATCCCCAGCATCCCATACGGTCCCTCAAGCACCCCAGGAGTGGTCCCTGAGTGCAGAGTCCAGAGTGACCACTGAGCATTGCTGGGTGTGGCCCCAAAAAGGAAAAAAAGGAAAGGAAATTTGAACCCCAACTACTACTTGCTTTCAAACCTTGAAGGTTTCTTAACTGCTCCTGAAACCTCAAATTTCTTAAATTACAAATGCTTTGAAATCATGTACTAAGCCAGACGCGTGAATTGCACCCAAAAGGAAGAGCCTAGCATGCAGGAGGCGTCTACTTGGCGCGAGCCTGGGGGCCTCAGAGCACCACTATCATTGCTGGACCCAAGCACACAACTGTCATACCCACACAGGGGCCCTAGGGGTGGCACCAACATAAAAAAAAAAATTTACCACTGTGGCCCTAGCAGAGCCCTGGGCACCGTCAGCTTGAGCATCATGCAACCAGGCCCGCCATCCTGGATGGCACAGTGCCTGAGGTGTGCCCCCGGCCCCTGGGCCACTGGTTTGTTCCCTTTTTTAAAAAATAAAAGTTCAGGCCAGAGCGATAGTACAGGGGGTTAGGTCTGCCTTGCATGCAGCTGACCCGGGTTAAATCCCCGGCATCCCATATGGTCCCCAAGCACCGTCAGGAGAAATTCCCGAGTGTAGAGCCAGGAGTAACCCCTGAGCATCGGTGGGAGTGACACAAAAAGCAAAAAAAAATTTAAATAAAAATAAAAATTCAACAAAGCATTCGGAGCATCAGCACAGGGCTAAGGTGCTCACAGCATGTGGGCCTCTCCGATTTAATTCCTGAGACCACTGCCTCGTGTGGCCCAACAGAAAAAGAATAAAACCAGTGGCTTTGGGGAAAAAAAACAGTGGCTTCATTTGAATCTGTCCCGATTACCTGTGTCTGCTGCCCCAATAAGGCTCTGGCCTTCTACTGATGTTCTCGATGAGGCTCAAGACCCCTTTCCTGGACCCGTGAGGCTCCGCAGATCTCGAAAGGAAGCCCAGAGCCTCCTCACAAAGCTCCCAAGGCCAAAAGGCTCTCCCGAGTCCCAAGGGAAGGTGGTTACAAGGCAGGGGGCAAACCCCTGCTCCCTGCACACTGCGCGGACGATCCCCAGAATGTCCCAACAGCAACACTTACTGTAAGTGCCAGGAGATTTCTCTTCATAAGTAAAATGAAGTTGCAATTCTTCTTCTGACATTTCACAGATGAACACCTTCAGCAAACAGCAAATAATAAACAAAGCATTGTGTGTCTGCCAAATGAAGATGTGGCTAAGGGACAAAGAGAGAAAAATCCCATGAATCCGTGTTCGATCCAGAGCACAAACAGCTGCACCAAGTCCTTCCCTTCCGGCGGCTCGTGAAGCTGCCCCGGCTCTACTCCTATCATCAGGCTCTGTACGCTGCACTTACTGAGCTCATAAAAATATTTTCCAGGGGCTGGAGCGATAGCACAGCAGGTAGGGCTTGCACATGGCCAACCCGGGTTCAATTCCCAGCATCCCATATGGTCGCCTGAGCACCACACACCACCAGGAGTAACCCCTGAGTGCATGAGCCAGGAGTAACACCTGTGCATCAACAGGTGTGACCCAGAAAGAAAAAATATATATATGCATATATATTTTTTTTTCCATTAAGCATGAATGTTTTTGCTCTTAACATTATAGATGTGCCAGCAGAAGCAAGTCAAAGAAGGTAAGTAATTTTTTTTTTTTTTTGGTTTTGGGTCACACTTGGTGATGCTCAGGGGTTTACCCCTAGCTCTGCACTCAGGAATTACTCTTGGAGGTGCTCAGTGGACCATATGGGATGCCAGGAACTGAACCAGGGTTGACCACATGCCTTACCCAGCTCAAAAAAATTTTTTTTGCCCTATGCCCTATGCCCCCAGACAATTGCGGCTATTTTTTAATTCTGACATATACAGAATGTAAGCATATACGCAACCAAAAGTTTTTAATATGGCACTGACAGTATAGTCCCATGCAATACTTCCTACTTTTATTAACAACCACAAACTCATAAGAAAAAAAAATTTTTTTTTTTTTTTTTTTGCTTTTTGGATCACACCCAGCGATGCTCAGGGGTCATTCCTGGCTCTGCACTCAGGAATCACTCCTGGCGGTGCTTGGGGGACCATATGGGATGCCGGGGATCGAACCTGTGCAAGGCAAACACCCTACCCACTGTGCTATTGCTCCGGCCCCACACAAGAAAAATTTTAACTGAATTCAATATCATTTCTTTGGTAGCAATGAATAATCTTTTAAAAGCCTCCCATCCAAAAATAGTTTTATAAAGGCTGAGTGTTTAGTGATTAATAGTCTATTACATATAACATGAAACTAGTATATGAGTCCTGTTTCCTATAGCAGGAAAGAAATCAAGACAATGATGTGAAACGAAACAATATTCAAACTAAGTCATCATTTAAACTAGATCTGACCATCAGAGACCAGGGAGAATTTTTGCCTTGCAAAATAATAACTTACAACACCAAGCAGCCACTGAAAGAATGTATTTCTAAAGATTGTCTGAAATGCTGAATCAAACCAGGAGTTGTAACTTGACCCCAATGACCTAGACAGTAAATCTTCTTTGCTTTCTATTTTGTTTTTGGGGCAACACCTGGCCATGCTCAGGGCTTATTTCTGGTTCTGCGCTCAGGGATCACTCCTGGTGAGGCTCAGGGGACAATATGGAATGCCAAGGACTGACTCCAGGTCGGCTGCATGCAAGGCAAGTACCTTATCCTATCTCGCTGTACTATCTCTGTACTACTCACTGTACCATATTTTTTCCTTTCCTAAGCAGAGTAATTCCTCTTTAGCGTCCGAAAGTTACATGATTTATATCGCGCGAAATTCCCCAATATTCACTCTTGCCAGACACAAGGGACATCACTGAGGCAGTCTGCTTACTTTGCGCATTCCGCTGAGAGTTTCAGTTCTTTGGTTCTTGAGAGGAAGACCTTGACTAGTGCAGCAAGGTTTCCTGTTCGAGGATTGTTTTCAACTGCAAGAGAAACGGATTGCAAAAAGTTAAAAATGGAGAACTAAAATCAAAGAAAACAGCATTTATAAAACCATATGCCCCACGAAGGCTGCTCAATGACGAGCCCAATGGTCACTTCCACGCTGGTCATGTCGCCTAGGGGAATAATCAATGACAAGATATGCCGGGTCTTACTTCGGAACATCAAGAAATCGTTGGCAAAACGAAAATGACGGAAACAGCAGAGGAAAGTTGCCACCACCTCTCAGCATCCAAAATTGCAAAGCAGAGACAGCGTAGTTAGTACAGAGACAACACACACACACACGCACACACACACACACACAATCTCTGAAGAACCCCGATGCATTATAAACGCACGAAACTCAAGAGTTTCTCAGAAGAGGGCGACCCTCTCTTTTTTGGGGGGCCACGCCTTAGGGTACAGACACCCTTTAATCAGGAGCTTTCACTTGACCAACAAAACACAGAGGTTTTACACCAGGGTGCAGGGTTCCATTCTGCTCGGGCAGATGTCCTTTCCCCGTGGCTTCCAAACCGACACCGCTGAGCTCCGGGGCTCCGGAGCGTGTCTGAAATAACTGTCTAGGTATTTTAAGAGCCGGAGGTGCAACATTCACGCACACTGGCCCGCGCCGCCAGGTCCATCTCCCTCCAGACCCGCGAGGGATGCTTCAGCTGCCACCAGGACGAGCACAGAAATGGTGAAGAGCTGGGAAGACGGCCTTGTTCTCCTGAACTGGTTCCTCTGTCCCCAGGATTAGGGGTGGAACCCAGGATCTCACACGTGTGCTCTGCTTTCTCCCCACTATCCCCTGAGCACGCAGACACTGCCCTGCTGTGTCCAAAGCTGGACCTGATGGGGAAACACCTTTCCCGAGTTCTGAGCACCTTCCCTTCACTTCCCAGGAGGGAGCCCTGAGGCTGACACACACGGGCCACCAGGGCACAAACTTCTGTGTCCTGCTGCACAGACATGACTTCCGTGACCCAGAGAAGCCTGCTGAGTTTCGACACAGTCCCCTGCGTGTCTCGGAGTCGGGACCCGCATTGTCCCCCGAGAGGCTCCCCGCAGAAGAACAGGGGGGAGGTCTGTGAGATTGCATGCAGGGTTTCACCTGCACAATCCTGCATTTTCCCTTCATTTCCCGAAAGCCACGGCTGGCGCGTGAAAAGCTGGAAGGCCACACGCTGAACAGGAAACGCCTCAACCCTCACTGGATATGGTCCCTGCTCGGAGCATCCATGGAGACTTGCTGGGTTTCATGCTGACAGCCCCTGAAGAGGGGCCCAGGAGGGGGCTGTCGACTGGTAACCACTGTCTGGCCAGGCCCCACCTGAGAGACCATGACTGTATATGGGCTCTATCCTTAATAAAGTTGATGCAGGTCTTTTTTTTTTTAATTAAAAAAGAAGTTTTGGGTGCCAGAGCGATAGTACAGGGGGGTAGGATACTTGCCTTGATTGTACCAGACCCATGTTTGATCCTCAGCATTTCATCTGGTCCCCCAGCACCGCCAGGAGTGACCCCTGAGCACTGAACCAGGAATAAGCCCTGAGCACTGCCAGGTAGCACCACTGGGTATAGCTCCCACCCCCCGTCCCCTTAAAAAAAGAGCAAGAAGATGTTTTAGGATTCAGAGATAGTACAGTGGATAAGACGCTTGCCTTGCATGTGGCCAACCCTAGTTCAATCGCTGGTACCACAAGATTATCCCTGAGCACAGTCAGGTACAGCCCAAACACCAAAGAAAACCATTTTTACACAAAGAAGCTGCCTGACACCTTCCCTGTACATGAACAGAGGAAGAACGGATAGAATCCCGTGGACAGCAAATGCAGAGCGAGGAGAGCAGGTCCTGCGCCAGCAGCCACCCAGTTGAGTCCGCACTCTGCACACTTGGGTCCTCCCTCAGCCCTTGGACAGGAAGAAGCACAGCAGGACCCCGGGCTACACCCCGACTAAGGAAACCCCGGAGCGAGCGACAACAGGAGACTCAGAAGGGGGAGGAAGAGCAAAATCACCTCAGCTCTATTCCCGGTGAGAAATCAAACTGCCCTGGGTTCCTATAAAAAACAAACCATCCAGCGGCTGAGAGACAGGAAAGGCACCTCCCTGCCCAAGGGTGACCCGGGGTTAAATCCCTGGCACCCCGCAGGGTCCCCAGAGTCCCCCAAGCATGATCCCTGGGCACAGAGCCCTGAGCACTGCCGAGTATGACCCAAAACAAAAATAATAATCAGCCGTCTACTCTGTAGAGAGAGAAGGACTGCCCTCACTTGTAGGAACACTGCACGATTAGAAGACCAACAAGCTGTAGGAAGCCAGAGAGACAGCACGGGGCGTATGGGACCCACCTGGCCTAGAGCCACCCACGTTCCATCCCTGGCACCACCAGGAGTGCTCCCTGAGCACTGAGCCAGGAGCGATCCCTGAGCACCACGACATGTGGCCCAAAACACCCTCCCCCGGGAAATAGAAACTGTGAAGAGAGGAACGAGCTAACTCCTGCCCCACTAAACAAACGGGGTGACGTCCCTTCACCCCCACTCTCATGAGTGATCTGACCGTCAGGAAAGAATGAGATACAAAGGGTATGTGTGTGTACGAGCTCGGCACACAGGCGCCCTGGGTTCGAGTCCGGGTACCAGGTGACCCCCCGGGCAGTGCCCGGGGGAAGTCCTGAGCAACCGAGGGTGTGGTCTCCACTCAAAAAGGAAGGAGAGAAAGAACGGGGACAAAAAGAAGCCAGGGAACTTATTATTTATCATGGCGTCTTTAGCAAGAAACCAGAAAAGCCCATATGCGCATCCAGGAAAAAATCAGTTACAGAGATGAGGGTGAGAAGCCAGACAAGTATCATGACCATCAACTTCCAAATATTGATGAGAACTTGAATCTGCGATTCCAAGACTGCTCACCAATCCCGAGGAGAACAAAAAACAAATAATAAAAACTTGAAAGCGGCAAGAAAAAAAAATAATTAATCATTTATAGGGAGCAGCACACGGCACAGACTTCCCATCTGTGGGAGGGGGAGGAAGGACAAGAGTAAGCGGCAAACGGAACGAGCTGGCACCGCCACCGACTGGCAACCAAGTGTATCCAGGGAAACTCTGCCGCCAAACAAACGAGAGCGACATCTGGAGCAAGGGGCGGGGACTGGGGCCCCAGCACAAACCCTGGCCAGGCCTTCCAGAGCAACAGGCGTGGGGCAAGGCCGCGTCCAAGTGTGTGCCCACAGCTTGTCACGTGACACCCGTACGCTACGGCATGGCATGTGACACCCCTACACTCTTTCCCCCACAAACCCATAACCAGGTGCAGTCGTGGGCGGGGGGATCAAACACACTCAACGGGAGGGTCCTTCTGGAAAATAACCCACGAGCACTCCTCAAAACTCTCCAGATCACCAAAAATAGGACAACCTGAGAGTGTGCCACCAATTCGGCCATTTGAGAGGACAGGATGACTGAGTATATTGTCAGTTAAACAGTTCTGGACTACAGTTGACATACAGTTCTGGAGCGGAAAAGCGACATCAGGACCAAACTAGAGAAGTCTGCTCCCTGACAGCGAAGCTAAAGGCATCTTCCAGGATGAAATGCCACTGACCAGGCAAGCGGGAACAAAGGAAAAACAAATGGGACCACATGGAACTAAGAAGCTTCTGCACTTCAAAGACAACAATGACCAGAATACCAAGACAGCCCACAGAATGGGGGGAAATGACTTCCCCAACAACCATCTGATAAGGGGTTAATATCCAAGATATATAAGGCACTTGGTAGAACTTTACAAGGAAAAAACATCCAACCCCATCAAAAAATGGGGAGAAGAAATGAACAGAGACTTCCTCGAAGAAGAAATACAAATGGTCAAAAGGCACATGAAAAAATGCTCTACATAGCTAATCTTCAGGGAGCACTGTCCTCCCATTGTTCATCGATTTGCTCGAGTAGGGCCAGTAACGTCTCCATCATGAGACTTGTTGTTACTGTGTTTGGCATATTGAATATGATGTGTGCAAGATACTCTCGGTAGCTTGCCAGGCTCTCCAAGAGGGGAGGAGGAATAGAACCGGGCTCGGCCGGCCGGCTGCGCACAAGGTAAACGCCCTACCGCTGTACTATCATTCCAGCCCTCTTCAGGGAGATGCAAATCAAAACAGCAGAGACTCACACCAGAGAGACCGGCACACATCAAAAAAGAACGAAAACCATTGCTGGCACGGATATGAGGAAAAAGGGACAATCTTTCACTGTTGGTGGGAAATGCCGAGTAGCCCAGCTTTTTTGGAAACAATACGGACATTCCTCAAAAAACTAGAAATTGAGCTTCCATATGACCCAGTAATACCACTCTTGAGAATATTTCCTGGGGCCTAAGAACACACAGCAGAAAAATCAACTGCGCTTCTGTGTTCAATGCAGCACTATTCATAATATCCAGAACCTGGAAACAACCTGAGTATCCGAGAACAGACGGCTGGAGAAAGAAACCATGGTACATCTACACAACGGAATACTCCACAGATGCTAGGAAAAATGGCATCAGGGCTTCAGTTATACTGGTGAAGTGGTAAGTGGTATAGTCACATATCCAAAGCACAGACTCAACAACACTGAAAACATGAGATTTAAGCTGCAACCATTGGAACCAGTCGGCAGGGGATGGAACGGGGCTGGGGTGGGAGGGAATATGGGACCACTGCTGGAGGGAAGCTGACACTAGTGGCGGGACTGGTGTTGAAATATTACGTGCCTGAAACTCAACTATCAATAACTTTGTAAATCACAGCTCTTTAAAATTTTTGTAAAGTATTTTTAAAACATTTTTTATACATGGATGGACAGGGAGAGTACCATCCTAATGAAATGAGTCAGAGAGAATGACTGCACTCATTTATGAAATAAAAAAAAAGGGAAGAAGGAGAAGCAGAAGCAGAAGGAGGAGAAGGAGGAGAAAGCCCAAGAAAGAAAGGAAGGAAGGAAGGAAGGAAGGAAGGAAGGAAGGAAGGAAGGAAATATAACATGAGACTATTATCCCAGGACAGTAGAAACAAGGACCAGGACTGATCCACAGTTGGGAACTTGCCAGAAATGGGGTGGGGAGAAGTACAGTCAGGACAGAGAAGGGGCCACTATGACAACAATAGCTGGAAGTGATCACTCTGGACAAGAACCAAGTGTTGAAAGGAGGGAAAGTGATATGCATGAAACCCTTTCAGCAACGGTACTGCAAACCACAGTGTCTAAAAGGAATAGGGGGGAAGGGGGGTGGGGATGCCACAGAGACAGGCTGGGGGGATGGGGAAGTAGGAGGGAAACTGGGGGCACTGGTGATGGGAAATGTACACTGGTGAAGGGACAGGTGTTTAACACTGTATGACTGAAACCCAATCACGAACAACTTCGGAACTGTGTCTCTCACAGTGATTCCATTAAAAGGGGTAAAAATTAAAAATAAATAAGAATAGGTGCCCATGGGGAAAAAAATTAGTTGTAAAATCTGAAGAGTATGCGATTCATTATCAGGCACCGTGTTCATCTCCTGGCAGTGCGAGGGGGGGAAGTAATGGCCTAAGATGGCCACAAAGGAGAAAACGGCAAGTATTAAGGAGAATCCTGCTCGCCTTACAACACTTCTGCAAACCCGAATCTCGCTAAAATGAAATACCTCTAGAATATTCCACTCTGGGTGTAACAACTCATGTTATACAGAAACAATGTACCAAGTGGTTAATAACTGAAAATTTCTGAAAGTGATGAAAGACATGAACACAGAGATTTAAGAAACTCCACTTACAGGAAAGGAAGGGAATGGAGGGAGGGAAGAAGGGATGGAGGAGGAGGAAAGGAGCCGGGGGAGGGGGAGGGGGAATTTCATCACTTTTTATGCTCTTGCACACACTAGGTGCTTTACGGACACATCAGTCGTCGTTTCCACAGCAACGGTGTGGAACCTGCATCATTTAAACTCACAACCAGAGTTCAGGGGTCAGGGGCACGCGGGTCTGGAATGTGTAAGGACCCGAGTTTGATCCCTGGCACCAAGCACGGTTGGCTGTGGAACTGGTGATACATTCATCACCGTGGCTGGGAATGGAATCACGGAACCAACCTGCCAAGTGTTGCAGGGAACGGGCCAGGCGCTATCAGCACTGTCTGGAAGCTCCGAAATAAAGCAGCTGAGCAGTGGAGAGAAGGCTGGGGTATGGGTCTTGCATCTGGGTGCACCAGGCCCCATCCCGGCGCGTGGCAGGGCATGATCCCTGAGCACCACCGGCGAAAAGAAAACCCCAAAGGACGGCTGCTAACAATTTAAAAGAGAAGCCTGTGAGAAGTGAGCTCCCACAGGGACGCCCTGCGCTCCTGCAAGCGGTGCATCTACGAACAGGCCACACACAGGAGACTTCATGTTACCGGATTTTCACCCCTGTGAGAATTCTGCAGTGGAGGAAAGAAGATGAGCATTCAGCCAACAAGAAGGCTGAAAGGGGGGCTGTAGCGATAGTACAGGAGGAGGGCGTTTGCCTTGCACGTGGCCAACCCGGGTTCGATTCCCAGCATCCCATATGGTCCCCCAAGCACCGCCAGGAGTAATTCCTGAGTGCAGAGCCAGGAGTAACCCCTGTGCATCGCCGTGTGTGACCCAAAAAGCAAAAAAAAAAAAAAAAAAAAGGCTGAATGGGGCTGGAGCAATAGCACAGCAGGTAGGGTGTTTGCCTTGCACGTAGTCAACCCAGGTTCAAGTCCCAGCATCTCACATGGTCCGAACACCGAGCACCGCCAGGAGTAATTCTTGAGTACATGAGCCAGGAGTAACCCCTGTGCATCGCCGGGTGTGACCCAAAAGCCAAAAAAGAAGGCTGAAACCGCAAAGCCAAAGTGTTTCAAGCGAGGCCCTTCCTGATGGTCTTCCCATTCGCCTGTGGTCGTCCTTCTCCACCCAGCTGCCAGCACAGACAGGCAGTGCCATGGGCATACTGGGAAGCAAGTGATTCAGTCCTCCCCATGAGGGGTCCAGGAAACCACTAAACCTGCTGCGGGAGCTTGAGAGGCAGATTTGAGGCTCCGGGCCCATCCCCGGCACCACAGGAAAGGAAGCTTCTCTGACCGTGTTCTGAGTTCTCTCAGTATTTCCCAGTGGACAAAAAGATACAAGCTGAGAGAGAGGCTGCCGCGGGGCAGGCTCTGGAGTCCAGCCTGGCACTTACTACTGCTGACACAGTGACATCTCCGGGTGCCGTCCACGGGTACCGCCTGCGAGCCGACACCATCACTCCCAGCACCAAGAACAGGCAGAGCGGTAAAGCGGAAAGGCTGAGCCGGGCTTGGCACTCAGAGGCCCAGGCTCCCTCCACAGTGCAGCACAGTCCGGTCCCAGCCCCTCCCCGGAACACAGGGCCAGGAACTGCCCCCAACACTAGGTCTGGGCAGGTGAGGCCCAAACACAAATACACATGGAAGATTAGAATACTCATTCATTTAATTCATACCACACTATCAACATTTACAATAAATATTAAATAAATGCCAACCACGACATTAACACACACACACATACACACACACACGCACTCGAATATTTTTTCCCCTTACCTAAAGATCTGCAGATCGAAATAGTTGCCTCCTCCAAAAGCTTCAACTCATTACTGCAGAGACAGAAAAAAAAAAAGTAATCAGTAACTATGAGACTAAATCAGTGTTTAAAACAAACTCACCTGTCCAAAAAAAAAAAATAGATTAGAAATAAAAAGAACAATAGTTTAGAAGAAAAATACGGAAACAGTAAAATAAAAAGTAAAATCAATGAAACACAGTTAAGCTTTTAAAATCAATGTAATTAGAGAAGGGTGATTGTCAATACAACACCTCCCACCCCCACCCTAGACCCTAGCTCCTTTTGCTTTGACTCTTTTTGGGGTACTGTGATCTGTAATACTTTCAAGTATTTCAACCTGGGCTATACCCAGCTGACTCCTAGCTCTGTGCTCAGAGATCACTCCTGATGGGGCTCAGGGAACCATGTGGGCTGCTGGGGTAAATTTAACATGGGTCAGCTGCATGCAGAGCAAACACCTCACGCTCTGTTCTATGTCTCTGGCCCCGGCAATTTTTTTAAAGGAAGAAACAGAAGAGAAACAGCAGGCCAGGGAGATAGTTCAATAGGTCAGAGTGCGTACTCTGCATGCCAGATGCCAAAGTAAGACCCCCGGAAGAACAGACCCCTGGCACTCCAAGATATCCCGAGCACCACTAGGAGACCCCCAAGAATGGAGTAGCCTCTGATTCCAAAAGCCAAAAGAAAGAAAAAAAAGGAGGGGGCGTCAGAGAGACAGTACAGCCGTCAGAGTGCTTGTCTCGCACACGGCTGACCCGGGTTTGATCCCCAGCACCCCATATGGTCTCCCCAAGTCCACCAGGAGTGATCCCTGAGTGCAGAGCCAGGAGTCAGCCCTGAGCACCGTTGGGCGTGCACCCAGCCCACAGCACCCCTGTGCCTAAAAAAGGGAAAAGGGAGGAAGAACACGTCCATCAGAGGACCTGATTCCAAGCGCGCAGAGGCACCTCCACACCACCAAGCATTTCCGGGCACCGGCAGAGTCCAGGAGCCAATGCAGGCCCCACCGGGCAGCAAGTTAGGCTCCAGCGAGGAAAGGCTCCGCTCCCACTCCTGGCCTGAGTCCAGGGGCGCCCAGTGCTTCTGACCTACCACTACACCCTCCCCCAAATGCAGGATGACTCCAACTGCTTTTTAATTTTATTTTTATTAAGACACCATGATTTACCACGTTGTCTGCTTCAGGCAGACGATGTTCCGACCCCCTGTGTTCCCCAGTTCCCAGCCCAAGAGAACTCCACAGGAAGCCCAGACTGCTCTCCTGCCTCTGACCCACAGCCACCAACTGGCGGTCCCCAGGCCTCTCTCTGGAGGTTGGATTCATTTCCCAGGGTAGCTCGGAGTACTCCCGCCCCATTACTCACTGGCCCACCAGCCCAACAACTTACTGCAGAGAACACAGTTCAGGAACGGCTTGAGAAGAGAGGTGCAGAGGACTAGACGGGGAAAGGCTCCCATACCTGCCTCAGGGGCATTCATCTCCCCAACTCTCCCGGAGCTGCCCGGCCTGGAAGGGTCCCCTCCCTCCTGGGCTCGGAGGGGACTTCGTTGCTCTGGCCTGAGTGGTCCAATCACTGCCCCCCCCCTACCCCCCGCCCCGGCAGTCACCTCAGTGGCCTTGGGGGAGGGAACAAAAGGCCAGGCCTCCATTCTTAGGCTGTCGAACGCAACCAGGGAAAAATGACGGCAACATCCAGGAAGTCCAGGCTCTGGGGAGCTATGACCAAGGAACCCCAGGTGAAGCCTGAACTCACACAAGTAATCTGCTGTGACCCTCTGATTGGTCAAAACAGCTCCTTTACATAAGCCACAATATTGCAGGAAGCACCAACAATTTATGAGTACAAGTCAAACGATAATATAGGCAGAGAAAGATCAGGAGACACCAAAAACAGACAAAGAAGACACAGGGAAACTCATGCCTAGATCCGGCTGTGGTTTCTTGGGTATGACATCAAGGTTTCAAAAGGGAAACTAAGGTAAGCCGAACTCCATCAAAATAAAACTTCTGCACATCAAAGAATAAAATCAGCAAAGTGAAAAGTCAACGTAACAGAATGGGAGAAAGTATCTACAGGTCATGTGTCTGATAAGAGATTGATATCCAAGATAATACTTAGGGGAGGGAAAAAAACCTCAATGATAACCACAAAAATGTTGATTTAAAAATGAGCAAAGGGATCGGAGAGAGAGTACAGCACGCAGGGAACGAGCCGTGCACTGGGCCAACCTGGGTGCCATCCCCAGAACCACAGACGGTCTTCCAAGCATGGCCAGGAGTGGTCACTCAACACAGGGCCAGGAGCCGGTCCTGAGTACAGTGGGGTGTGGCTCAACTCTTCCACCAACCCGGCCATGTCACAACCAAAAACAAGAGCAACAATGCAAGGCAGGTGAGACAGCCCAGAGTCGGGTTGGAGGTCTGCCCAAACACCCCGAGATTCCAGCAATGCGGGTGTGGCCAAAGCTTTTAACAAGAAAGTTTTAGCGAAGATGGGGAAGAGAAATGACGACTTCAGCTCTCTCTGTCCAAACTGTAATTAGCATAGGCATTGCTGGTCACTTGTCAGAGCCTGGAGGCTGGAATGTACTTAGATTATAAAACAGATGGCACAGATTTTGTAAAAGAAGGCCAACAGCTCACTATTAACCCGTATATTCAGAACACTCTATCTGGATTCTAATGAGTCAAATAAAATATATTAAAAATAATTTTCTCAGGGCTAGGAGATAGTACAGCAGGGAGGGAACTTGTCTTGCATATGACCAACCCAGGGTTGTTCCCCAGTATCCCAAATAGTCCCCTGGGCCTGGCAGGAGTGACCCCTGAGAACAGAGCCAGGAGTAAGCCCTGAGCACCACCAGGTGTGACCAAGAAAATGGAACAAAAATCAACTATCTCCTATTTCATTTTATTTCATTTAGGGCCTCACCCATCAGTGCCCAAAGGTCACTCGGGTCCTGGCAGTGCTGGGGGACTGTAGGTACCAGGGATGGAAGCTCATAAAGCCCTCGGGCCTGCTGTTCCCACCCCTCACTTTACTTTCATAAAGACTCCTAGGAAACTTGAATTCCTGAGCTGCAGCAGTTACTTCCATCAGAAATCAGAAATACATCGAGGGTAAGAGACATTACGTACACACACAAAGCTACCACCGCTAATCACTTGATCATTTGACTTCCCGTTAATCTTCAATTTGCTTGAGCCGGCACCAGTAACATCTCCATTTGTCCCTGTCGCGTGCTAGTGTAGCCCAATGGTGTCTGTTCATTCTAGGAACATGAAGAGCCTCAGTGACCACTGCTAGTGACTCCAACAAATCTGCCGATACCTTAAGAACCTCAAACTATAATCACAATCAGAAAGGTAAATCTTTCTAAAGTTAGGGGCTGGAGTGGTAGCACAGCAGGTAGGGTATTTGCCTTGCACGTGGCCGACCCAGGTTCGAGTCCCAGCATCCCATATGGTCCCCTGAGCACCGCCAGGAGTAATTCCTGAGTGCAGAGCCAGAAGTAACCCCTTGTGCATCACCAGGCATGACCCAAAAAGTGAAAAAAAAATTTTTTTCCTAAAGTTAAATCCTGAATCTGAAAGTGATTTTTTCTCTTTCCAGCCGCATCACCTAGAAATGACCCCACGGTAAAGGTGCATTTCTCGTCTTAGCCGTGAGCTCCATGTTTTGCGAGCAGCTGCTCAGCAAGTCTGCTGTCTGTGCACTTGCCCCGCCCCTCCCCACCACTCCTCAGGAGTGACTCCGGCTCACTCGGCTTGACCCAGAGACCCAGAGACGGGCCACATCTGACTGCCTCAGGGACACGGCGAACCCACACCACCGGGGAGTCAGGAGAACATGCAATGGAGGTAAAAACTCGGGTTTTGGGAGACCAGCCTCGCCTGCAGAGACAGCAGAGGAGGCTGTATGCAGAAGGTGGGGGCAGGGGAGTCGCAGAAAGATGCTGGTAGGCAGCTGAGTCCCCAGTGCCTCCCCGTGCTCCTGTTCTTGGAGAGACGTGGGTCCCTTCATGACTTTTGTTACTGATCCAAAGATCAGCCCCTGTGATCAAAGGCGGCAAAGACATCACTGTGGCCAGTCTTAATAACATCCATTAGTAGCTGGCAAAAATTGGGAACTACGAATTTCTCCATGTATTGGTTACTAGGGCAGAGAATAAAAGCGAAGAGATAAAAAACCGCCAACACCTGTAAAGAGCTTCCCGAGGCTAATAACCTGACCTCATGCAGAAAGGGTTTTTTTTTTTATTAGTGAAACACCATGAGGTACAGTTGTAGATTTACAAATCTTTGTGCTTGGGTTTCGGTCATACAATGATCAAATACCCATCCCTCCACCAGTGCCCATTTTCCACCACCATGGATAATATCCCCCCCCCCCCACCCTGCCTCTGTGGCAGGGCATTCCCTTTTGTTCTCTCTCTCCTTTTGGGTGTTGTGGTCTGCAAAAGAGGCATTGAGTGGCAAATATGTTCAGTCCATAGTCTACTTTCAACATGCATCTCCCCTCCTGGGAGAATCCTCCAAACACCCTATATTTGGTGCTCCCTACTCTATCTGAACTGCCCTTTCCCCTAGAATGCCCAGCTGGCCTCTAAGCTATGGAGTAATCCTCCTGGTGCTGATCTCAGCTATTCTTGGGTATTAATCTCATATTTTGTTGCTTTATATCCCCCAGATGAATGCAATCGCAGAAAGGGTTTTTGCTGGTGCTTCTTTCTGCACTGACCAGCATCCTCGCAGAAGCACCCAGAACCAAGTGCTCCACTGACACTCTGTGGCCATCGGCTTCTGGACATGACCTGAGTGACGGACAGCCCCCAACGCTGCCTGCATGCCAGAGCGTACCTGGGCTCCGTGGGGCAATGGGGCAGCAAGAAGAGAGATCCAGACCCGCCTGGGGCACGTGCTCCCAGCAACGATGCCCAACCTCCCTCGGAGAGTCCAGAAGCAGTCAGAGGAAGCCAGTGTCCTAGAAGTCATGGGGGCAGGTGAAAGCTCTCCAGGACCAAGGCCTA